AATCTGTGCGTGTAATATGTGAGTGAATGCCAGGAGTTCAATGCTACCACCGTCTTCGAGTAATGTACGCCGACTTCCTCTGGGAAGAAAGAGTTCGCACTCTTTGCTGTAGCATTCCGAGGGCCTTTCAGGCAATCCATGAACGTCAATTGAAGTTGCTTTTGCGCCTGCCTCGTTGGCAGTCACATAAGTTCAGTGTCGTTGGCTTTAAATGTGACAACATTATCTGAATAAACGCGGCGAAGAGGAGGTCGCCTTGGAACCTGGCTCCGTGCAGTCCGTCAAGACATGGGGTAGTGGTTTGTGCCTTCGGTCTTAGGCCTCTGTCGTTGGCAAAGAACGGTCCGTACCACCAAATCAATTATCCTTGGCCATCGTGAGGGTTGGATAGTATTGTCTACAGTATCACTAAGGCCGGACTAATCCGGTACGACCGCAGTCCTATCAAACACGTGTAAGAGCTTCCAGACCTGGTGTTAAGCAAGACCGTATGACGATTGCAAGAAGGGAACATTCTGACTTCTTGCTTCCCTGTCGGTAAAAATTCTTGACAAAGAATTCACGACCTTGCACCTAGGGCTTGTATGATAAACAGCCCAGGACACGTGGATGTCACGTTTTGCACCTTTTATCATCGGCATGCAGTACTCGAAGGTAGACTTGGCTCGGGGAAGCATCAATGACGTGCATAACCTGCTTACCTCCCTGCCCCATTACGTATTTCCGAGGTCATGTGATTTACCGCCTCAGGTGGTGGAACCTAGGAGTTCCCGTCCCCTATTTCTGTCGTCCGCCATGAAAGGTCGCAAATGTCAAAACTACTCCACCTGTCCATAATTAGCCGCCCGCTTCTACCAAACAGTCATCCCCTACCGCCCGCCCGCCTGCCCGATCCCTCTTACCTCCCTCGCTGACTCCCCCCCCCTGGGACAGGATTTTCCTTCCGAGGGGGCATTGAAACAGCCTAGATGTCACAGTCAGCCCCTTTAATTACTCGCGACAGCGACCAACCCCTCCTTCCGTTGTGGCCCGAAAGCTCCTACGGCGAAGGACGGAACAGGGGGCGGGGGTGGGGAACCACTGCCAGTCGGATGCCGCAGTGCCTTGAGTAGCCTGCTCTCTTCTTTTCCATGCAAGAAGGTAAATACTGATTAAGTCTTCTTGTTGGAAAAGTCGCATGTCAGTGGAGTCGGGGGGGGGGGGTAAAACGGGGCTGCCTTCGCGTCAGATTCTGTGGACGGGGTAGCTTATTTTTAACGGACAAAAAGCACATCAAACCATCCACTCGTGGTATTTTGGCCAGGGGAAACGTGGCGCCAAAATAAGGCCTGTGCCCCAAACCCACCCACAACTAGGGTCAAATCTGACTTGCAATGGTTGGCCTATCACATGATATGTAAACCGAAATTCTAAAATGTGTTTTTGGTTAGAAAGGATTAGTTGGGTGGGATCGTAATACTGCTTATCGCGCGGAACTCTTCCAAGGCATTTTAATTATTTGAGGATGCCGGCATTTGTCTGGGCTTCATTCCAACTTCCCGCAAAAATCGCACGCGATAGAAACAACTACTTAGTATGATTTTCCCGTTAAATTTCTATGTCCTTATTAATTCAAATATATTTCGTAAAAAACATGCACAAAATATTCTTTCTTATACTTATTTAGCGTAAAATTACGTCTTCTTCAAATTTTTTACCCACAGCAAGGGTACCTCTAGATTTAAAAAATTTTATAATTCTAAAATGTTTTGGTATCGGGAGGTGTCCATTCATGTAACATCGTATCTTCCCGTTTATAAATGGTGCCTGCGAAGTAACCGGCATATTTCACACCCATTCCAAAGCTGTATGAGCATTTTTTAGCAGCGTTAAAAAATAGGGATTTTTCTTGCATGAAGTGCCTACGGCGTGTAGTTTTTAAACCTTGATTGAAAGTGCGTCTGCAAGACGCTTTCAGAATTATTCTGAATCTTCACCCTACCGTTACCAAGCTGCCGTTCATGCCCTGGACGGTGGCACCCGAGACGCTGACTGGGGCTGACGTTTGAATTAGGTACGCATGGAATTCCCCAATTCTGCGGGCCAGGAAATGGACGGAGGGGTCTTTGCTATTGTGAAGTTGTGGGTCTGCGAGTTCGCCTTACTGTCGACCATCTCCCCATTCAATTACAATCAAAAAACAGCCCATTTAGTACCAAGTAGCAGAAACTGTGATAGATTAAGCTCATTAGTGCAGCTGTCCAGCTACCGATGCTGTCTTTTCCCTGACAGGTCCAATTTGTCTATTTCTTATTAGCCTTTAGTCCTGTCACCATCGTATCCTCCCCAACCTACCGCCATCAGGTATCCTGCCCGTCTGCATCCAGACTCCTTCTCCCACTCGACCCTTGGCAATTCCCAATGGGCGACTCAACTCGGTAGTTAAGTGCACGTGTGTAGTTACTGTGATGGGCTAGAAGGTACGCTGAAAGTAATAAAAGCACATACAGTAAATGTGCTAACTCATGAAATGTCAACCAAAATTTCGAAATGCGTTCTCGTTTTGAAAAGGTAAATTAAGTAGTGTTGTAAAACTAATCATGACGCAGCATAAATCTATAATGATCCAGTTACCTCAGGGTGTCGGCTTTCGAAAGAACTTATTTTCGGCTGCATGCAAGATCTATACTCCGCAAAAAATGGCTACTTAACTAGCATGCAATTTTCTCATTGATTTTCGATGCCCTTGAAAATTCAATTATATTTCATGGAAAACATGCATAAAATATGCATTCTTTTACCTATCCGGTAGAAAATCACGTCTTCTTCCAATTTCATACTCAAAAGAAGAGTATAATTCGGTTTTAAAAAAGTTTCTAATTGTGAGATTTTTTAATACCGTTAAATGGCCGTTCATGAAACGTCATGTATCTGCATTTACGAATGTGGCTTGTAAAGTTAACAATATTGCCCAAATCCAGTGCTTAATTTTATGAACCTCATATGGTCTCCTCTTAACACCTTAGAGAAATGCATGGTTTTCCGTACACGGAAAATATACAGCTTGTAGTTTTGAAACCCTGAATGTAAGTGTAACAGCAGGTCGGGTTCAAAATTATTCGGGAATTAGAAAAGCTTTTTAACACCGGATTATACTCTTCTTTTGAATATAGAATTGGAAGAAGACGTGATTTGCTACCGAATAAGTAAAAGAATGGATATTTTTATGCATGTTTTCCATGAAATATAATTGAATTTTCAAGGGCATCGAAATTCAATGAGAAAGTTGCATGTTAGTTAGGTAGTCATTTTTGCAGAGTGTTGATCTTGCATGCAGCCGAAAATAAGTTCTTTCGAAAGCCGATACCCGGAGGTAACTGGATCATTATGCTTTATGCTGCATCATGATTAGTTTTACAACACTACTTAATTTATCTTTTCAAAACGATAACGCATTTTAAATTTTGGTTGACACTTAATGAGTTAGCACATCTACTGTAGGTACTTGCATTTGCCAGTAGACTCGCTGATGCATGGCGCTCCGGAAAGCCAAGACTAGGCCATGCAGCGAGGTTTCCGTGAACACTTCTCCTCCACCCTGATGCACTTTTTTCGCATCTTCACCGCCCCCCCCCCTCCAACAGATTTTTTATCAAAGTCCCGTGGTGGAGCTATCTGCTCAATGTTATTGGCTGTTTTACGCCTTGGTCAAGCGCGGCTAGTAACACAGATATCTCCATAATGGTAGCTCAACCCTCTCATCCGACGATGTCCACCGTGTGCTTCATAGCGAGGTGAGAGCACGCACGGTGACTTACGCGTGAATTAGTTTGTGGTGAGAGTAGGCTTGCGCAGCATCTACCGCACTCTCTCCCCCCCCACCTGACCCCGATGTAAAGACAGAGGCAAGAAAATCGGAGGCGGGGGGGGGGCGCAGGTGGATGGCGCGGCTGAACCCGCAGCCTGGCGGTCCACTCCACATCCTCTGGTCCACAACAAACACTTTACCCGGATTTGGACCAACGACAACAACAACAGAAAGGACGTGGATGACTGGGCAGCCATGCACACGACCAGTACACCCAGCGGGAGCGCAAGTACATGTACCGGCAGGGAACCAGGTACCGGAGAATTGCCAGGCTGCTAAGGTCATGGTTTGTTGATCATGGCATACCAGACGCTCACAAACCTTGGGGCCCAGATATCTCCATAGCCACTGCCCTTAACACCTTCCTCGAGCACTGGTGGCCCCTCAACCATCACCACTAACCGAGGCTAGAAGTGTTAAGCTTGAATTTTTCGTAGCCTTATTAACCTCCTCAGATGCTGCCACACACATACATACGCCACACCATACAACCCCTTTTCCCAACGGCTTGATAAAATACAGTATGCGGGCTAACTCATGAAATGTTAGCCGAAATTTAGAAATGCGTTCTCGTTTCGAAAAAAATAAATTAGGTCGGGTTGTAAAACTAATCATCATGCAGCATAATGCTATAAGGATCCAGTTACCTCAGGGTGCCGGCTTTCGAATGAACTTATTTCCGACTGCATGCAAGATCTATACTCTGCAAAAAGTGACTACTTATTTAGCATGCAATTTTCCCATTGGTTTTCGATAACCTAAAAAATTCAACTATATTTCATGGGAAAAAATGCATAAAAATATTCATTCTTTTGCTCATTCCGTAGGAAATTACGTCTTCTTTGAATGCTTTACTCGAAGGGAGAGTATACTTCGGTTTTAAAAAACTTTTCTAATTCCCGGACAATTCTGAACCCGACCTGGTGTTATACTTGCATTCAGGGTTTCAAAACTACAAGCCGTATATTTTCCGTGTACGGAAAACCATACATTTCTCTACGGTATTAAAAGGAGACCATATGGGCTTCATAAAATTAAGCAGTGGATTTCAGCAATATTGTTAATTTTACAAGCCACATTGGTAAATGCAGATACATGACGTTTAATGAACGGCCATTTCACGATATTAAAAATTCTCACAATCAGAAACTTTTTAAAGCGAATTATACTCCTCCTCCGACTATAAAATTAAAAAAGACGTAATTTTTTGCCGAATTAGTAAAAGAATGAATATTTTTATGCATTTTTTCATGAAATATAATTCAATTTTTAAGAGCATCAAACATCAATGAGATGGCCTACATCAGTCAATGAGATTTTGTATGATGGACCTTTCCTCGTTATATTACGAACTGCCAAGTATCTCACTGTTTGCCGCAGCCTAAATCGACTGGTCAAAGGTGGGTCATATCGAACCTCCTACATCACTCCCAAGAGGCCAGCCATCTCCAAAAACAGTGTGCCTCCCGCAATTTACTCAGATTTGTTGCCTGGCACCAACCCTACTTATCCTCCTACTTTGCTCCTCTATTCCTTCCTGTACACACAGTGGCCGTGTTTTTTTGCTAACTACTAGTCTCTTAACTTTGACCTCCATTTTTTCATGTGAACCCTCTGCCGCCAGTGAGAAGTGTTGTAATGATGCAGAATGTTTCGCCCTCGTGAACCGAAACGGTCGCTAACACAGTGCATATCTCTCCAAACTGTCTGCTCGCGTCATCACTTCGTGGTCCACTCCAAATGTGTCTTCTAATGTTAACACCCGCGACACCAGCATACCCTTATTCGAATATATTCTCCATGAGGTCCGTCTCTCGTCTACAAACTATTGTCATGAATACGTCTGGCCTGCTTAAGAGGGATGTCAAGGAGTAGTCAGCAATTCCGTCTAACCTCACCACCAGTCAGTAGGCAAGCTCGGACGTGTACCCGGTTATGAGAATGGAGAAGGTAAGTGAGACCGCCAGTGAGCGACTCAGCGGTGGTGGTGGTGGTGGTGGTGGCGGCGGTGGTGGTGGTGGTGGTGGTGGTGGTGGTGGTGGTGGTGGTGGTGGTGGTGGTGGTGGTGGTGGTGGTGGTGGTCACCGACAGTCTTGGCATTTGAAAATTGGAGGCCCGTAGATCATTGTAACTTACTAACAAACAGTGCGGAATCTTGGCGAGTGGCGATGACCTGTATGTTAGTCGTTTGCCAGCCCCCTTGAGTCAGTAACTCCAGCTCAACGCACGCTGGCATTCATACCAATTTTAGCTGTTCTCAGCTCCTAGGAAAAGGGAATCACATTTTGTTTTCACAAGAGGTTTCTCCAGAATTTAAACTCCCAATGACCTCCTTGATTTCCGCTTCCCGATTTTTTCGTCCTTTCCTAGACAAAGTCAGTTGCCAGACCCTTATGCATCTGTAGGCATGTTTTTCGAAACTTAAATAGCAATATATTAAGTCCCTATTTTTTCTGTTTTTCGCGAAAAGTGCTCCAAAACACACAGAAACGATGAGTAGGTCTGTCTAGTGGGCGTTTCGTCTATCACCTGACCGCGGTGCGCGTAGTGGGCCACGAGTTGGTTTCTTACTCCTTCTCAGGCTCTTTCTAAAATCCGTTGTCAGTAAGTCGGCCTCGTCACTGGAAGCGGCATCTGAGCTCAAAAGTAGCGGCTGCAAATTCCGTGGTCCCTCCCGGTCCCCCGAGCTCCTCCCCAAGGTAGCTGTTAACTTGACTTTACTTGGGGGGCGGCTAGCCAACAGTTTGGCCAGGCGTTGCGGCGGAGGTTTCTGTTGTATCTGCCGCTGCCGTTGTTGCTGCTGTCTTGGGTTCGTCGTTGTTGCCGCCGCCGCCGCCTGGGCTCCTCTAGTCTGAACCTGTCGCTCGTCTTCATTGTCTCCAGCAGAGATGTGACCCACGCGTCTGGAATCTCGTCGTTTGGGGCGGCTGGGTTTGTCCACAACACTCTGTGACTGCACGGCCATAGTTTCTCTGCTGGTCGACTTGCTAATTACCGGAGGTTTCTCCACTGTCTCGGGCTCCTCTGGTCGCCTTTGCAGTCTCGCCAGCTGCATCTTCTTGGTTTCCTTACGAGCCAAGAATCGGGCAATCGACTTACTCACTTCCTTTCTTTTAGCTGCCTCTAAGCTGGCCTGACGTCTGGCCATACGCTGCTCAGCCTTCTTGAACTCCTCCTCCTCGTCAGGCAGTTCCTCCTCCCAGTCGAAGTTACCAGCCAGGGCGGATGCCTCTCCGAGACTGGGCCAGGGGAATGTAAGATGGGGATTGGTCCCAGCGGCTGAATGCAGAAGGGTGTCCTTCAGCTCAGGTGACGACCAGGGATTCAGATCCCCCAGCGTAGTAATTGCGGGTTCAATAAGGTGTTTTCTTGCCAATGAGGTTTCTTGCGTTGGAAAGCTCTCCTCTTGCTGCTGCTGCTGCTGCTGTTCTTGTTGAAGTTCATTGAAGCGCTGTGGTTTCTCAGGTGCAACTACTTCCTGGCCCAGGGTAGCATCTTCGCCTTCAGAAGAGATGGGGCCCGAACTGGGGAGATACTTGCCCCTACTCAGGAGTTCCAACATTTCCTCGCTTTGGATGTCGGTTAGCATACCGACTGCAGTCGTCTGCTCCTTTTGCGTGACTGGATCAACCTGCATTAGCATGTCCATGATAACCTGGCAGGTGGAATTGAGGTGATTGGCCGTAATCCCCTGAAAAGCGTACTTGAGCTGAAGTTTTGGGTCTGTGTACTCGTCAACGGCAGGCAGATGTGTACTTTCACCGTCTGCTGAGGCGAGAACACGTCGCCGGAAGTAGTGTGTGATTACAGCCTGAACACCCTGGAAGCCCTCAATGAGACAGGCCTTCACATGTTTAGCCAACATGGCCGTCCGTCGGGCTCTAATTCGTAGATCACGTCCGTCGAAGTTGATCCAATCAAGGGCATAAAGAATGGCTTGCTGCTTCGATCTCTCTATCTCCCCCAGCCGGCGTGCAATTGACAGCGCCAGCGCCATGAGCTCGTTGGCATTCTCAAAGTTATCCAACTTGTTGCCGGTTCGTTCCTTAGACGTGGAAGTACGGTAGAGGCTTTTAGGCAGAACGGCCACCGAGTCGCGTTCTTCGATAGAGACCACGGCAGCCGCCGCGGGCATTACTGACCTCGGTGTTAGTCTGGCCAATCGCATGGACAGTCTTTCCTGTGCGTTACGAAGGAGGTTAGCACTGCGGCTGGGTCTCCTGACAAACTGGCTCTTGAAGGGATGAAGACGATCCCACCAGTGGGGAGCTATTAGGTCGAAGAACTGCAGCAGAGCTTGGATACGCCTCCGATAGGTCTCAATCTCCGTTGCCAACGCCTTGCCCTTATACAGCGTTACTCCTGCGAAGCCTGTGTGTGGAATAGAAGCCACGCTCTCAGCGTAAGGCGTATCCATTTCGGGTTCATTGTCACGCCGTCTTCTATAATCAACACTTCTGTACTTTCGAAATACGTGCTCGAAATCCATCACACGTTGGTTGATCTTAGCCCGGTTTTTGTTGAAGCATTACCCAATTATTTTGCATAGGCGTGTGTTAGCACCTGTTTCTACCATTTAGGCACGTGCATTTGAACATGTAATCAATAAACGTCTGGATAGCCTATCACGGTGACGACGTGTGGCCTGACAAAGGAGGAATTGGGTAGAATGATAACTATTCAAAGTCGGCTGCAGCATCTACCCATTAGAAAAAGTTCATTATCGCATACCATGGCTGTTTGAGTTTCATGTTTCTGTAATTTCTAATTATAGCATTGCTTCTAATCATCAGAAATATCGAACTGCCCCATATGTTCAAAGAAAAATCGAATAGCATTTTTGTCTCCTAAATGCAGGTTTGTCCCGGAAATCCAATTGGAATTGTCTTGAGACTGAAAAACAGACCCCTCTCGCCAGCTATGAAGGGCAGCATTGATTAATCATATAATTGGCGGGCATAGTACTAGTAACCCTGCAGGTAGAAGTCTTAACGCTAATTCTGGAGGTCGTCGATTAGGTCTCCTCTCACGGCGGATTTTCCCATTTCCATTTTGTGTGGTAACAATCTTCTCCGTAATCCAGATTTATAGTTGACAGTAAATTTGTCCGTATCACAAGCGCCTTGTGCTGAATCCCAGGAGGTGGGTTAATCTTGAAGTTGGTATTTGGATTAGGATTAGGTGAGTTGGGACTAGGATTACGGCTAGGAGGATTACGGCTAGGAGGGTTAGGGGGGTTAGGATTAGGAGGGTTAGGGTCAAAGCCCGTGTTAGGGCACGGGAATAGGTTCCCCTTCTGGGATTTAGCTCAAGGCCACCTGTAGTACGGGGGTGGATAGTCCCATGTCCGATCGATTAGCCGATAGCCTTTTGACTTGTGTCTGGCGTCATGAAATATGCCTACCAAATTTCACAAATCCAACGAATAATGGAAAGTCTTCAAAAATGACTATGCAAAACAGCCAGGTTGAATTTCACAAACACGGTCTACTCAGGTTGTCAAATATCGAGAAGGAAATAAAAAATAGCAGGGAGGATTACATCTTAAACAGGTGATTAGAGTCTGAACTTGCAGTCTAACTTTCTGCATCATTCACGTTCGATCATCTGAGTAAGGGAGACTTTCACATACCTGCGTCGTATGTAAACGCAAAGAAGGTTGCTGAACGTTAGCCTTAGCCTATTTGAAGGTCTGTCGACTAGGAGGTCTTCTACAGTGCGAAAAAAAGTAGATTTCACTAATTTACTTATGAAACCATTTTGACGGTGATTCAGACCGCAAGTACGTCTCATATCCGGGTTTTGGGTGGAACGGACTAGCAACAAAACGAATACGAGTAAACCGTGAACGATTACCCTAGTTTCCCTTGATTAGGCCTGCAGTGCTTTTCAACAGCTATTAAACATTCCAAACGCCATAGCACGTTCTTGTCTCCATTATATGGGGCCGAAAGCTCATGAAGGTTACGCAGGCCTAACGGGAATTGTGCTTTCTCGTAAATGATTGTCCGATAAACTCTATCTCAAAAGCAGGAGAAGTGTCCACTGGGATGGGCTTTTTGGGTCTGACGCCTCGAGCAGTGATTTCAGCTGTCCATTTTGAGAGACTAAGTACTCCTGCACATTTTGCCCGACGCATAGGTCGCCAATACCTTCTGTTCGGGGCAAATGAAGCCCCGTTTCACCATGACCTGTATCGCCGCTACCCTTGTTGACCGTGACTATAATTGGCGGCGTCGTAGAACTGACCTTTCCGATAACAATAATCTTTTTCATCGTGGATGAGGACCCTCATGCATGTAGTTTCTTTTTCTTCTACTGAGCTATGGCTTTTGTCTTCGTCTATACGCTGCTTGTTGAAAGTAGGTCCTTGGCATACAGTAGACGGGCGATCTTGCGAAACGTTAACCTAAAATCGGAAATAAGTTCTCGATCCAAAAAGATTGCTTGGGTAAGACTGCAATATTAATAATTATGCATCATAATCCTAGGATATTTCAAGCACGGCGGGATGCCGGCTTTTGAATGAGCTTCTGTTTGACCGTTTGAAAAAAGTACTATTCGCAAAAATTAGCTACTGAATTTGTATGCTTTTCCCATTGATTTTTGATACCCTTATAAGTTCAGATATGTTATATGTAAAACATGTACAAGAATATTCTTTAATATACTCATTTGGTAACAAATAATGTTTCTTCAAATTTTCGAATTGAGGAAGAAATCTTTTGGTTATTTAGAAGTCTGTAATTATCAGATTTTTTAAGACCGCAAAGTGTCCATTCATACGGCATGGAATCAGCATGTTAATTATTGGCAGAATGGTATTGCCGACAAAGACAAGGGAGACTGGAATGGCCATTTCTGGCTTATTAGCCGTCGTCAGCCAGCCATACCCAAGCCCGAAGTGTGGAACACCCGAGCCTCGAACTCGCGACCTGTTGGTTTAGAAGTCAACGCCTCTACTCACCGGGCCACGAGCCCGTTGCCTTGTCGGTTTTCGATCGGGAATATACAATGTGCGGCTGCTGGTTGGGCTCGAGAGAGAGTCCATAAGGCACAACGGAACGAGTGAGTTCCGTATGAACGATCGGTGAGCGCCCCCTAACAATGTTTATTATTTATTATTTATGCAACGTGACTCACAGCCATTGCGCAATTTTGTGACTTTTATATGACATATTCCTAACAGCATAGAGAAACGCGTGTACAGAAGGTAGTGAAAGAACTCTGATTGTAAGTGTAACGCAGGTGAGACGAAAAATTATTCGGAAATATAAAAGTTTCGTAGAAACTTGCAGATGCCTTTTCTTTGAGCATACAACTTGAGGAAGACGTAATTTACTGCCAAATGAATATCAGGAAAATATTCTTATGCATATGCCGGCATCCTGATGTAACTTTAATATCCTTTAATTATTTTTCAAGATAATCCATATAGGAACCCTACTTATGTCATCTTTTCGAATCGAAAGCACACCTCAAAATTTCAGCTAACATTTCATAAGATAGCATATCTACTGTAGCTTTGGTTCCTAAAAATCCTAAATTCGTTCCCGAAGTTTTGTTAGGTGTTCGAGCTTTGACATCGTCTTTCTGCGCTAGAATAGCCAAAAGTGCACCGACAATGGGCGGATCCCCTAGCCAGCCGATCGATCTATTTATGAAGTTGTTAGTAAAAGGTAAGAGGTCGATGAAGAAGTAGATCCGACATGCTGGGTCCGGATGCCATGTCAGAGCTGACATCCTTGGTTTCGACAAAGCATAAGCATTGAACCTACTCCCAGGATAACCGTTGGATCATTCCTAATATTTTCTTCTTTGACGAATTCACCGAGGTGAAAGTTGGAGTTGGCTGCATACTTTGAGAATTTACATCTAGGTTCTCCCCCCTCCTCCCCCACGGCATCCATGGCATTGTGCAGTACCTGTGCCAATGGGGAGGATTAACAGTTGACAGAATCGATCGCAATTTTAGAATTTTTTGTGAATTTTTCTTACTCAAATGTCAGGAGATGTGGTTGGTATGTCTGCGGATATAAGTGATTGCCTCTAAAACAGGTCACGTGGTAGATTAACTAGACTAACACGGGGCTGGATCGGAGTTCGGCAGGCGTTATCGAGAATGCACGCCCATAACAAATGCCAACACTGGGGGTGCTGTGGCAGGCCCAGTTTCCTGCTCACGTCGCGCATACTGGGATCCCTGCCACCCGCCTATTTTTGTTGTGATGCAAAATTCTGGTCAGTGTACACTGTGCGTCAAAAGGCGCGTTGGTACGCCTAGGTTCGGGTTCAAGCCGCGCCGGCCACTTGGATTCCCTCCCACCTCCGGCCCATCGTGTGCCGGCCAGGTGTGCATGGCACGCGTAAACGAACCATTTAACCTTGTCGACCAATGCGCCGTCTCTGGTCTCTCTAACTCTGTCTTGACAGCGGGGACAGATGGAGGCGGAGGAGAAAAGTGCACGTTAGATGCAGCGCAAGTCTTCTATCATCATGAACTAATGCACTTGCAAGTCGCCGTCCTTGCACCCACCATGCTATGAGACACTCGAAGGACATCATTATTTGCAATGGTTAAATTGTCCGGTGAATGCGGCTGATGTTGTTTTGCCTAGGCAGTATGTTATTACCGACACTGTCAAGGGAGACTGGAATGGCCATTTCGGGCTTATTAGCCGTCGTAAGCCAGTCACACCTAACCCCCAAGTGTGGAAGACCCGAGGCTCGAACTCGCGACCTGTTTGTTAGAAGTCCACGCCTCTAGCTACTGGGCCACGAGCCCGCTGCCCTGTCGCTATCGATTGGGAATAAGCAATAGTAGGGGACGTCATTGGGGTGCCATTGAGGCGCCTCGGGGGGTTCCACACTTCGGGGTTGGGTATGACTGGCTGACGACGGCTAATAAGCCAGAAATGTCCATTCCAGTCTCCCTTGTCTTTGTCAGTAATAACATACTGCCTATATCATGCGCCGCTGTGTGGCTGCTGGTTTGGCTCAAGAAAGAGCCCCTAAGACACAACGGAACGAGTGAGTTCCCTAAGAACGATCGGTGAGCGTCCCCTACCTTTGTTATACCTTTTAGAGGGAAGTTATCATGCTGTCTTTCATCATTAAGATAAAAACCTGTTATTTGCTGTCAGCATTAAAAAGACACATCTGCTAAATGTCCTTTAATGCAAAAACTGCAGTGAAACGTTCTTTCTTCAAAGATGATCCCCAGGAGATCTAAATTTGTCTGTACCACCATGAACTACCAAAATATTAGGCTCTTATAAGTAGAGAAAAAGGATGGTCGACCACGGGGATATGTTGTTTATTGTTCTGAGCTTTCAAACTCGTGCAGGTGTCTATCGTCACAAGTGGCCGCCCACACCTACGAAACCCGTCACGAGTTTAACTTCGCAGCCACCAAAG